GGGGAGGGGGCGGGACAGAGTGCGGAGTATTAAACATTTGCATTGCATAAATTAAACACAGAAAAAAAGAAGGAAGAAAAAAGAGAAAAAAGAGGGAGAAAAAAAAAGATGAAAAAACTGACCCACATGTGACACAAAGAAAATTCGCAGGTTTATAAACGTCAAAGTACTTGGGGTAGGGGTGGAGGTGTTCTAGTGGGTCGGAAGTGGAAGGGGGCGAAGGACCGAGCCATTTTCGAAAATGTATCAATACTCTTGGGGATTTGTGTGGTGTTTCTAATAGGCGGGCATACAATATTAGTAATACGGCCAGCGTACTAAGTCAACTGATGTGGGATAATTTAATCCATGTCTCCATCTGCTCGTCTAAATTTCCGTCCCTTTATTTTTAAATGTAGGTGATTTTACAGCACCATCGACATAATCTAGACCATTTAGGAGGCGGGCTTCCGACCTGCCTCCGAGGGTCAACCAGGGCTGAGAGGGATACAACATTCCAGCAGAAAGACCGAGATACTCGAAAGCAGTTTCTCCCCATTCGGGAATCGAACCCCGGTCTCCTGCATGAGCCAGCAAAGTGCTACAGCACAGACGCCAGTTCACTGTACCCATTAGATCTGAAGATAGTTGAGCGGATAGTGACCCAAAACACAGTTCATGTACATGCATATATTGTTTCATGTTGTAGGCTTGAAGACTTGACCAATCGCTGGGGCTTACAAAAATCATGACAAACATTTATTTTACAGTGGATGTACATGCAGATGATGACGTAAAGACTAAAAAAGTTCCTAGTCTTTGGACTTTAAGTAAACGTCCATCCACTATGGGACAAGGATGATGGAGAAAAGGGGTTTGGGAGAGGGGGGTGAGCTGGTTCCAGTCTCATTTATAAATACGACATGTATTGTTACATATAGCAACACTGCATTGTTGGATACATTTGTAAGAAAAGCATAACGATTATTGATCAGTATTTATCTTATATAAGCCAGGCTGGCACGGCTTCTTGCACAAGGGGGTACGCTTTCGTGAAAAGGCGATGTTTTTTGTGTTGTTGATTTTTTTGGTTGCTTTTTCGGGGGGGGGGGGGGGTTCTTTTTTGTCCGTGCATGGTAACTTCTAAAGCCTTCTGAAAAGGCAACCCAACAATATGATTCGGATTCACAATGCATTTACATCAACAGCAATAATCGCATTACATTGCCAATAGTAATATTTCAAATATAATATCAAATACGCAATGTTATAACTATAAGAGAAATAAAAGGCATGCAGTAACAATGAGTTTAAAGCGAGAGCATAATCCCACAACAACATGTTAGCAAAACAGGACAATAATCACGAATAACACATTAGACTAACATTGGCAAGAACGACGATTGCAACAGCACTGTAAGAACAACACGAATAAATTAATACCACAGCCTCGAAAGTCACTAAAGACAAATACAGATAGCAAATAAATAAAAAGACATGGAAGGGAAGATGAATAAAGATCAAGGGAGGGAGGGCGGGAGAGAGAGAGAGAGAGAGAGAGAGA